ATAGCATCTACCTGTCTTTGAGAAAACTAGAACCATCTCCTCTGAAGCAGAAATAGGATAAATTCGCAATTATTTATCTGAAAATAAGGCAAATAAAGTACATGAAGGACTTGCATATTTGTGTGGTAACAATTTGTGTGGTTACAATTTGTGTGGTTCAAATAGATTTTGGGATACGGCTCAGCCTAGGGGAGAATTTCATGTTTTGAACCTAATGTTTCCTCAACTAACTGAAAAAATATTTCCATTTTTTCCTTCTCTTTTCAAAGGAGAAACATTTAAATACAATCCTAGAATACAACAGCTTGTAAGTAGCACCACCATTGATTTGTTGTGTGATCTCAGGCACATGGGTTAGGCAATCATATCTGAGCTTCTTCATTAATTAAAGAGAAATAATTACTGTTCTTGTCAGGTATTTGACACACCTTGTAATAAACACACACAAAATATAATTATACTAAGCTCCCCATGCTGCTTTTGGAGTACTTACCAAGAATCAACAATGAAAACAGCATATTACGATGGAATATTTCCAAACATATAACAAAATAATTTTTCAAACATATTCAAAAGACCAATGAGAATTTGTTTTCCAATTCAGATTTTTTCACCAGATATTTTTAATTACAGTATGTCAAAGAACTCTCATTCTTCTCATACCGTATACTGTTAACTTTTACATACGTTGCTCTTTAAAGATTCACCAAACTTCTTGCAGTGAATTACATAAATCTTATTTTAGGCTATAATATTAATTCATTTCTGCCAGATGCATTTCCTGTCACTTTTTTTTTTCCCCAAGATTGTTCTAACTTGTTCTGGTCTTTCAGGCAAGTGTAAATATAGATTTTTTTTGATCACGCTGTGTACTTAGGATGCTACTTCTGTATCTTGCTTCAGTTGCAATACACATGATCATACATCTTCTCAACTCCATGCTCGTTCTGTGTTTCTCGGGTTTAAGATCAAGTAAAACAAAAGAGATTAGGTCTGCTGCATCCTTCCAGTGGCAGCATTCCCATGGCACAGGAAGGCCTTTAGCTCTGTAACTAAACCTACTTGTTGAGCTTTAGGATTACGAGGCTCTCAAAAGGTTTCCACAGAATTACTGCAGATCTCACCTGGTGTGACCAGAGCTCAATCAACAGGCTCATTGGAATGAGGTAAGGTGTGCTGCCCAGCACTTACTTTTGCTTTCAGTAATGAAGCTCAGATTAGGTACCTAGGGTTCTTCAAGCTAACGCGACTTAAAGTCATTTCACTCACAGGTGTGTAGGTGTAGGACAGCAACTTTTATGATATTTCAGCTCAGTTTGAACTAGAATTGATCAGCATGCTTTGAAAAAATCTGCAGCCATCCACTAAGAGACCAAGCAAGCTAGACAGGGCAGAATAAGAATAGTGATCGATAGGAGAAATGAGAACAATCCTACATTTCAAGAATTACTTTGATCTTCAGAAGATTAAGTTCCCACTTTTTTATACAGCAAGCATTTGATATGAATATACATCAAAGAGTTTACAAAAAGAGGTCAGAAGGTTTGTGGTTTTTGTTTTCTTTGGGGGGAGGTTATAGCTTCAGAAACTTACGCATAGTACAAAGAAATAAATGGTTCAAAGACAAAACATTTTAATGACAAAGATGAGAATTTTTTTTTTTTTTTTTTTTTTAGGTACATAAGCGCTTCAAGACAAATCACAGCCCCCATATTTGAGAAAGTGATTGAGTCAGTGCCAGAGTAGCATTTACCACAGCTAACTTGGCCGAACCTTGGTATATCTCCAGAAGAGAAAGTTCTTTTAGCCTATTGTACAAACTGAAAGATCACTCAGATTAAAAACAGACCAGCTTTCTCACTCAGAGTCCAGAGTGCAATGAAGCCAATAGGCAAAACCACAGCCCTGTAGACGAGCAGAACAGAGCAAGGAAGAGCTGTCTGTCCGGTGCACAGCCCTGCTTCACACAGTGAAATTGCCACAGGAGGCAATTAGTTTGCGTCCGGGGAGGGTTATGAACACAGCAGCAGGGCCTTTTTTTATGGAAAGATGCATTTCTGCAGGGAGAGGTCAACTAAAGGAATTTAAAAATAAACAAAGAAATAAATAGGACCCAAATCATCTCTGTGTCATTAGTTCAGTAATGCCGAATTATTTTAGTTCTGAGATAGTTACAGTTTTGAAATGCACTGAAGAAACTGAAGTGCAATTTGTACAAACTACAACACAGCAATTATATATATTTATGGAAATCAGAATATCACAACAAAATATTTTACCTCAAATGAAAATATTAACAAAATGCTTTACTAAGATTAAAAATGGATTCTCATTTTGTTGTTTTACCTCAATTTTCATCTCAAAGAGTGTTGACTACTTTGGTTTTTATTCTGATCCAGAATGAAAGCAAAATGTCCAAACACTGCTATTTCTTTTGAAGCACAAACAGCAACTCTTTTATCTCAGAGTAACTATGGTTCCTTGGGATACTGCAGTCAGTACGGATCCCACTATCAACATACAATCGCTTGGGAGCCCAATCTCGGAATGTTTTCAACATCTCTAGAGGCAACCCATGTACCTGGGCCTCCCCTGCACCATCCCATCTTCAGATGGGCACCTAGCAGCTCTTTCCTGGCCAGAGAAGCAGCACTGCACTGAGTATCATTGTTTTACAGCTGGCCTTACCTTTTCCCATGAACATCCATGGGAGATTTGTTCCTGGCTTCAAAGACAGTGTGACCAAGTCCAACATACCAGAGAGTTGAGCAAGTGAGAAAAGGGTTTCATTACCAGGCAGACAACTGGTTTGGTTGAGCACACAGCTCCCAAACTGGGGCACACAGACAGCAGCCACAGGAAAGCCAAGGCCATTGTAGGGCTGACCACAGAAGACTGAAAAAGACATATTGAAACCAGAGAAGAAAGGAAGGGAAATAGCGTGCAGTGACCTAATCCTCAAAGTGCTGCATTAGATAATAGAGAAATGGTACAGGGCATGGGTAAAAGATAAAACTTTAGTTTCCTTTGAGACCAAACTGTATTTTCAGACATGTCACCATAACACAGCCAGAATTGCAGCATGGCCCATTAGCACTTTGAAAAAAGTTAAATGTAGTTATCTCCTCTTTTGGTAACATATCCAGTAATCTGTCACTATGGTAAAATTAAGGAAAATGGTAAAAGAGAAATAGTTAGGGTCCATTTTTCTCTGCTCAGTGCAGACACACACCACATAGCACAAAACAGATGTTTCAAGTGGTTTTGTGACAACTTTACCCTCTCTGCCTTACTTCAAATGCCACCCTAGTGTTACCGAGTACTTGACCTTGCTGGTGGATCATTACAGTGTATTGCACTGCCTGGTGAAGATATTCTTTGTATACGCAATATGGGCTGACAGAAGATAACAACTTGCATGTGCCTTTTACCTTGAACAAAGAGAGAGGAAAAAAAGATAAAAGCTCACAGCATAACAAAGAGTATAACAATCTCACTGGAAACTAATTTAAAAGCACTGAATTTAGGTACCAACTGTATATAGAGTAACTAACTCTTCAAAAAAGACAAGAAAATATTAGACTTATTTGTTAACATCACTAAGCCAAATTAAAAAAATAATCACATCCAAATGAAAACCAAAGTACACACTTTGCTTAAAATGTCTTTTATTTGTATGGTAAGCCAAAGGTTCTTATTCAACATAAAAATGCACCACTGTGCTTCCTTGGGAGCTATAAACAAGTTGTCAAATAAAAATATACAAGCAATTAAACGATATAGAAATGGTACATAACACTTACACATACAGTTTTATCGTGTAGGTGTACACACACACACACACACACACTCGCATGCACAAACAAACACACAGCAGTTTCCAGTTTTTACCTGTAAAAGAGAGAAATGATAGCAAAGCTATCTAAGCCCGCTTTCTTATATGTGGTCAAAAAGCCTTGAAAAAGCTCTCATATTATACAAATGATACAGCCAAATGTTTCCCATCCTGGCAGTTGTTGTACAATGTGCATTTGTAGCCTGACTCTCTCTCAAATGGCTTTGGGCTAAAAGGAGGTGCTTAGCAGCTCTTAATACAAGGCCCCTATTTCTTTATTTTCAGCAAATTCAAGTATAATATAGCAAATTTTAAACCTGAATATTTGACGCTGATACAGCAAGGACTTGGGTACATGCTTAGCTTTATGCATTGCATATATGCCTACTGATTACATATAAAATTCAGAGTATCAAGCATTTGCTAGATTAGGACCTAGGTTCAAATAACAAGGGCACAGTTCTTTGGGCTACACTCTACCACTTCTTTCTAAATATGAAAGGTGATTCTTTTCCTTTGTTATCAACACATTTAGGGTGCAAAAGCTTATGTTCATTTACAGAGAACTATTGGTGTTGTCCCCTATGTTATGATGATATTGCTCAATGTGTTACATAAGCAAAGATATTTTGGTTACATTATCACTGGAAATAAGTAAAATACATGAGAAAATGGGTTAAAAGAAAGACAAAGTCTACAGAAGTATTTACACATTCCATTATTAAAATACATGAAAGCCAATTAACAAGGAATTAGCCACAAGTATGAAATACAGATGCCTTCTAAATCAGATTAATTTTAGAATCAACTAGTGTTAAAAATGAAATGTGACATGATACTGAAAGCTGTAATGAAATATAAGTTAATAATTCTAATGAATGAAAAAATCAGAACTATATAATTATCTAAAACACTTTGGAAACATCAAATTACAGTCTTTTTTCCTTAGAAAAAGCACAGTGTGGGGGAACCTCCCCTAATTATTCCTGCAATTTGATATTATGTTAACAGAAGTCTTCATATTAAAGCATACACTTCATATATTTTAACAGTTTTTAAGAACATAATACAGTTGTAAAAATAATGTAGCACCTCCTGTAAACATAAAAAGCACTGTTTTAACTTCTAATAGTATTATATGTAATACTGTCTTGTTTTTTTCCTTTCCTTCATTATAACATGCCCCTAGTTCAGGATCCTACTGAATCAGTCTGCAATTGCAGCCCACTCAACTTCAGGGACTCAGCAGCAGAGTCACAACATCTGCGTAACAAGACTTGATCCCTGCAACTTTCTGTGGCCTGCAGATACCAAAGAGATGAGGCAATTGACGTGCCCAGCATGTGTCATCTGTCCTCACTTGACCTGTCATCAGCTTTATCTTGAGATATATATATATATATAAAAACAAACAAAAACCATACACACACAGAACAAAAAGAAACCTCATATTTTTACAGGTTCCTGGTATTGCTAGCCTAAAAGTTTTACCTGTCATATATCAGGTTTACATTACCTTGCACTTCTTAAAACAGCATGCTAATTTTTTTCATTTTATTGCCTTCTTGCTTTGAAGTCTTTCAGGTTCATTTGGGTTATATTTTCACTTTCTGCTGTAGCTAGAAATGTACTGTTCTTTTCAGTGACCATTAGAACTTCCATCAAAGCTGTGAGAGCCACTGACATCTACACTGAAGTTTAAATGTGTTTCTGGTTCCTGGCTCCTATTAGGAGGTTTTTCCAGTCTATCAATCGAAATCACTGCAGAGCTGCTCCTGTCCTCTGTACATTGACTTGAGCTTACAGGGCAAGGACCATAATGAGCCACGAACAGGCACAAATCGCTGATCAGGCTTTGCAGCCCATAGACACACAAACCTGCCCGCTGACTACAGTGAAATCACTAGGACCAAGCCCCCGTGCCCCTCATTTCCAGCTGCGCCCCTTCAACTGTGTTGCTGGAGATCATTTTCTTATGAAATTTGTGCATATGTCATGACTAATAAGAGCTATCCCAACAACTGGAGGTTTTCTGTAATTCTTTTTCAATTCTTGCACTTTTCATCGTTCATGCATATTGAATATTTATCTCTAACAACATGTTACCTGTATAGGATACATAATCCATAGCCATTTTCCTTTCATTGCAAAAAAGCTTCATGTATCTTGTCTTCCTCATCCCTCTTACTCCTACTTTTCTTTCTAGATATAAAAAAGAGTAGTTCCAAGTAATGTCTCTTTTTCTGAGCCAACTTGAAAGTAAGGTTATTTTCTCAGCTACATATGTCCCTCAGGGTTTACACTTAGCAAAACATCTTCTGCAAGTCTTCTGTTGTATCAGTGCTCCTTAGGCATATCAATTACTCCCAATTTCCCAACAACCTCTCCTTAGCATCTTTTATCTATTGCAAGTTTTAATAAGCAGATGTAAGCATGTGCATAAGATGATCATCAGGCTTTTGAAACCTAAACTATTTTAAATAAATGCCAAAGCCATCTTGCATCTTTTTGCTCTGAGGCTATTCATTATAATTCTGGCATAAAACTCTGCTTTGGGGAATGAAAGGGCACAAAGAGAAGCATTTTTTATGTCACAGAACAAGGGGGATTTGGCAAAACAGAAGAGGTGGTCACAGACAGCACTCCCAGGCACCCAACAAAGGGACAGAAGGAAAGTTCTCAGTGGCATACAATTATTACTGTGCAGTAAATAGCAATTAAAGAGGATTAATTAAAGAGTAAAACAGGTCACTAACACCTGCTTTTATATTCACTCACCGTATTCTCACACTATGTCTAATGACTATCAGCAAGTTAGGGAACATGTTCTTAAGGAAGTAGTAGGAGGGTGGGGATGAACATCATAGCTGTATTCCATGCAAGAGAGGATTCCCTTTCTGCAGTAAATTAACTTTGTAGGTCCCCTTCCCTGGTTCTTGCAGACTGTTTTCTGGTTTATGCTTTAATGGTTTTTTGCTCCTAATTCCTTTAGAAGATGCCCTCACAGAACTGAATGTCTGGGAGAAAAAATTACAATCACTAGGCAAAAAGTGCTGTTAAATGCAGAGTAAATAGACACTTCTATCCCCCAGTCTTTTTAAGTGAGAAATCTGAAATGTTACCCGTGGAAAACAGCAGGTACTATATCTTTCAAGAGACGTGCAATTTTAAGTAAATATTTTCCTTTTAGCATAATAAGTTTTAACTCATTCTTTCATAAAAGTGATTTTTTTATGTCAGCGTTCTCATGGCACCCAAGAATCACTGAGAGTTTTATTGCCTACTATTAAATAACTCAAACTATCACTTCTTCAAAACGCATCAAGCTGTTACAAACTCAGAAACTTAGAGTGGATACAGCTGTGTTTAGACAAGTAACCAAACTACGTTCATCAAAGAAAAGTGAGAGTCATCAGCTCTCCTTCAACTGAGAGAAATGTAGGAAGTGAACAAAGTCTAAAATTGAAAGTATGTGAACTTTCAGCATCTCTCCCGTTTTGTAATTTCAGAAATTATTAGGGAAGTAAAAGAGGTCATATGCTCTTCATTTATATGCCTCATGAGAGGCGAGTGAAAGAATGCTGAATTCTACATAAAAATATAGCTTTAGTATCTGTGGTTGGCTCCCAAGTAGACAATGACACGATTTTCATACACCTTCTTCATAGTTTTCTCAATTTGCTTCAAAAAGACTTGTGGAATTCTCCCACATAAAGTGTGCACTGTATCCAGAAACTTAGACTGAAGAGGGTAGTACAAAGACTGGAAGAGATTGTCTTCAAACGGAAACTAAAGGGAAAAAATATTATTTTCAGTATAAAATGGCATTTAAAAGTTGCTGTAAGAGAAAGCTTTATACAGGTAGGAGATGACTTGTTTCACACCTTTCCAAAGCGTCCTGTCATTTGGACAGTAGTTTGCTCTAGAGAACTTGCTTTCTGAAAAGTTTGTCTAGGCTTATTACCTGAAACAACCAACTTAACTGAAAATTTATTTCTAGACTCTATATTTAAAGCAAGTTTACTAATGTAGAGATACTACAATGAAACTGGCCTTTTTTAGAGGTTTGTACAGGGAAGCAGGTACTTGAAGGTGCACCAGTTGGATGGAGTAACACAGGAACACACAAGGACACATGATCAATACTGTTTCTGTTTAGATGAGGAGTTTTCAAGTAAATCTCCCAATATCTTAACAATGCAATCCAAATTATGGTGAGCAGATACTACCTGAGAAAGCAGGAAACGAGTTCCCTTTGGATAAAACATCCTGTAGGATTGTTTATTCACACTAACATATTGCATCTGCTAGCAGGCTTCCAAGTCCACAGGACCAACTCAAATCCATCTTGAAGCAAAACTGAACACTGAGACTGTCCATGTCAGGTCCTCAGCAACAACTCATATGCTCCATAAATCTGCTCCTGTTGTGGCATGCTACTTACTGCATAGACTGAGGCTAAGACAACTCCATACTCTCCTCAGAGCAATACATAGAGATACATGTCTCCTTGTGGCCAGTACTGGATAGCTATTGCAATGCTCTTCAGCCTAGGTCAGCACTTGAAAGAGAATTAAGAAACTTCAGCACATATGCACATATCCATACACGTGCAGATTATGTGCAGCTGCATCAGCTGCTGACAGTCTATTATTTCGTATAGGGACCAGGAAGAGAACATAAATCAAACTTTAAAACTAGAAGGTGAAGGAACTCTGACGCACGTTTTATGAGGATTGTTTAAACCATCTCTCTCAAATACAGAGTCAAATGGAACAGGCCAAAGCAACCTTATTATTTTGTGACTGACAGGTTATGCATCAAGTATGACTATCCTCAGTCTAGTCTGGGTGATCTGGTTAAAGTTATCATCTATATTGAAACAGAACTATCAAAATCGAAGACTTACATCACGTATCACTTCATAGAGTGCCTTGAAGGTAGGCTGCTTCTCATCATGGTAGACACCTCTATTGCCATGCAGAATGGAGACACCTTCTTCCTCTGCACCTTTGCAGTTACTCCCATACATACAGTGATCAGGCCGGTAGTTCCATTGACAGGGAAATACATAGAGACACTCTGGCAGCACCAGTCAGGAGAGATGGCAGTTGCGGGGGAAAGACATATCGAACAAGAGTTATAACAAGCTAAAATAACAAGTTAAATCGTATTTCTTTGAAAAAGCTAGGTCTGACAATCAAAACCATTTAAAGTTACTTTCCTCACAAGATCCAAAGCAGCAACTAGATAAAGAAGCTTCATTTTTTTTTTCCAAGGACGAGCAGACCTGTCTCTGAGCTGTTACACTAGAAGTAACCAATACACAGCAACTAGAAAGACTGTCTGGAAATACAAACCAAGAGAGCACTTTACAAAATTAAAAGTGACAGAATCAAATGTGGAGACTGTGCATTATGTAGTACTGCATGGCACCCTCTGCTAGAAGTTTTCAAAGCTACAGAAATGTTTAGCAAAACAGATAGAGCAGTGCGGGTAGGTGAAATCCTGAAGCCTTCTGCAGACAGCACACGAAGTATGTCCATTCTCTGCTGCTGAAGCTTCAGTAGAGGCTATGCTGAGATTCTGCACACCATACAAAGCAGTGTATTTTATCTGTAAGTTGTCAGACAGTCTAACAGTCTAATTTCTCAAAAGGGTTTGTAATCTCATTTCCCCTATTGTTGATTGGTTCTGTTTTTTAAAGCTTTCTCAGTGTATCTATAGTATTTGCGACATGTTTAAAATACATCATGCCAACCCCTCTGACCCCTGTGTTTTTGCAATGAAAACGGAGTTCAATGAATCATTGCACTGCACTGACAGATCATGACAGAAGTTTTGAAGACCAAATTGGTCACTTGGACTTTATCTTCCACTCATCATACTTAGAAAGGCTGTGGTGGTCCTGTGTGGTTCTTGAAGAACGTATTTGAGATGCTTCTTTCTGCAAGGCCTATCAGGATACTGCTCCAAAAAGGATAGTTTTTAAGTGGTTTCCATTCACTTTGACTTATTACACATTCAGAACTGCTCCCCAGAGTAGCTGTAGCACCCTGGTCTCAACCCTCTTACAGATAACAAGAATCTTTCCAGAGAATCTCAGCAGATGTTTCCAGGTACAACGCCTCAACAGGTCACTTTAGCAAAAGAATGTCACCAGGTGTGTCTCAGCTTTTGTACACAACACTTGAGGATTCATAAGCCTTCTCCTCACCAAATGCTCTTAAGAGATTCATTACTGTCACAGCTGGATCCGTGTAAGTCTTCAATGCTGTTGAAGATAGAACCGCCTTGGGAAATGGGAAAAAGGGTTCCTCTTTCCAGGCCACAGGCTTTGCATATTCTTAGCCAATACATTGCATCTACAAAAAGCCATCTGCAGTGGACTTAACTGACTCATGTTTTCATTTCTGAACCCTTCCCAGGCCATTTTTAACAATCCAGCATTTTAAAACCTCATGAAAGTCTAGTTTTATGTTTTAATAGTCTCAAGCTCTTTTGTTTTCTTTTTTGTGCAGTCTGATGTTACGTAATTCAGAAAAATTATTTACTAGTTATGAGAAGACTGGCTGTGGTGCAGAAAAGAATCTCAGCATGTGGATTTGATACAGAATCCTCTTATTACAGAGGTCAAATGTTTTTGCAATCTTTTGTTTTGCACTCTTAAGTGAACAGTTTGAGTTTGACCTGACAACTAATCCGGATTCATCTTTTTTCTTCCTCTGGTAGACCCCATTCACTTTACATGCATTTCTTTTTGGAAAGTAAGTTATTATTTCATAATCAATATTTCTTCTACCTTTTTCTCCCTAGAATTGAGGCTACTGCACAGTGTTTCAGGGATTCAAAACACAGCTTTGAGAGATTTGAAGTCCTTCATAGTTCTTCATAGTCCCAGAGGAAGCAGAACAAAGGAAGAGCATAAAATACACACGCAGCTAAGAAACGGAAGTTGAGATGACCTCATCAATCTGGGGCTTAGTGAGGAAGGGTCATTCGGACAAGTGGGAGGAAGCTTCCTTCTCTGAAAAACAACTTTTATTTACAAGAGTGAAGCTAAGGAGGACAGCAGTTTTAAGGAAGATAATTCAACATCTGAGTGTTTTCTATTTGTAGTACTTGTTTACATAAATATTGGGATTCAAGTACATTTCAGAAGAATAGAGGACAGCTTTGCAGAAAGTTTGTCAATTTAACATTCAAATAAGCACCTGAAACAAACATATTGTTCAGCTAGGCTCTGGTCCAGTAGAGCACATATGGAATGAAAACAAAGTAAAATAATGATCGAACACAGAAATTGAGTTCAAGCTGTGTATGTGTTTGTTTCCTTATTTGCTCAAAATCTTCAAAGAACAGATTCATATCTTCAAAGGGACCAAATGTGATCCCCACTACCTGAACAACCTTCAGAATTATTTTCATGGAATGTAAATCCTAGGTGGACTTGCATATTATGCACATTATCTATATGACTGTATTCTGCACATTAAAAATAATGAGGAGCACTTTCTTTGTATTTTGCAAGTTTAAGAAATTTTTTTAAGAAATAACTTTTAAGAAAGTTTATTTCTTAAACTTTAAGAAATTAAAAATCACTTCTTACCTGGGTTAAAGTAAAAAATAATATTTAGTAAATCCTGGTCTCCCCATGTGATGTAATTTTTGTACTTTTGGTATAATGGATACAGCATTTCCTCCCAAGTCAAACCAGATGGTATCATGCTGTTCTGCAGGGCAGAAAAAAAGAAGCAATATTTTAATACTGTTGACTGCAATGACATGTATGACGTTGAGAAAGTAGCACCCACATATTTATTTATCTCCTAAAGCATGTCAGATACCTAAAGGAAAAATGAAGAACTGATAAGAAATGCTACACATGGAAAGTGTTGGAAAAATAGAATACAACCAGATCTCCTGATATGACTAAGCAGGAAAGCAAGATCTCCTGGGTCCAGCTCTGATGTCAGCTCCTGCTATTCAGAGCCTTCCTATTCTGAGCAATAGGATGGAAAAAAATAAAAATGCAAAGAGTAGGGATCTATTTTAAATTGCTTCATAGAAGAGGGACAATATCAAAACTGAGGCGTTGAAGGGAGGAAAAAAATCAAGCTATAGAGAGCAAGTTTTTACTCAAGCTGTTCCTGTAATAGTACAGCTAATCCCTGGCCTTGATTAAGGACAGAGACCACTCAGAGGTAAACAAAGTTTCTCAAGAGAATAAATGTTCACCAACACAAATAGAGATTTAGCAGGTCAGGCCTTTCACAAAAACAGGGAATTATCATGGTAAAGAGCAAGAGATCCCCTCATTTATATCAATTAACAGAATCACTTGATCTACAACAGGATCCCCAAAATAAAACAAACAAAACCCCAAAACATCACACAACAAATTTTAAATATTTGTCTCAAATTTCATATTTGTTTAAGCTATTTTAAACATCCTAAAAATCATACTCAGACTGCTCTGAATATCCTTGAGTTTATTTCTTTCATGTACTTTTGAAGGGAAACTGAAATGCCAAAGAAACCTGTCAAAGAAGTTGTACTGTTTCTTCAAGTTCTCAGTTCACCACCAATTCAATGAGCAAGTTTTATTTGACAGTCATTTTCACTACAATTCTTTTGGTTTCAATATTCATACACATATTCTATATTTTAAAGATCCTTTAAATTCTAAATTTCACTTTTTTTGTAAGATACATTTTACATGGTATTAAAAATACATAAAGCACTAGTTTCCGCAACACATTTATCTCTTCTCACCTTGAACTGAGCATTGCGTATGCGGGTTAAATTCATCAGCATGACTCCAGAATTGACGCCAGTGGCCCCGTAATAAGGGTGACGAGCAAATCGGCTGTACCAGCCAATCTTTGGTATCTCATGCTCCGGGGCCATAGCAGCCAGCTGGGTGGAGTTGAACTCCTTCAGGATGTGCCAGATGTCATCGATGGGCCTCAGGAAGAGAACATCAGTGTCCACATAAAGAAGAGAGTCCACCTCCTTTAAAATAACCTTGTGGGTTGGCACAGTGAGGAGAGGGAGAGATGAAAAAGAAAACAAGCAGACAATGAAGGTTATTAGCAAAAAAATACTTAAACTAAGAACTTTTAAAAAGTTATTGATTCACTATCTGAATGTCATTCCACACCAAAACAGTTATCAAGTATATATATATATTTTTAAATCTGCCAGGCAAATCAGCTTCCAGAGCACAGAAGTGAGATCCTAATCCTCATGCAAAACAGTAATCCACTTAGCTTTCAAAACAATCTGTGATGCAAGGCCTACATAAAATAAGTTCAGAAATAAAATGCAAGGAATATATATCTGCATAGATTTGTTACTTCTTTTAAAGATCTACATGGCATGGTTGTACAGGAAAACGAACCATAGAAATAAGATGTATTTTTGGCACACAGTGTGGCATAGATTCTGAAAGGAGCATTGATAATAATGTACTAACTGCTGCACTGTCTATATGTACGTATGCTTCAGATGCTTTCACAGTCATACAACCCAATTAAACACACAAAAAGGCTCTGCTTTAATTAAAAAGCACAACTCACTTTTTTTTGTGATCGTTAGCGAGTTTGCTTAAAGAGCAAACTTGGCTTGCTACATAGAAATGTCATTTTCATGCCAGATTCTGATCTCTGCTATCAGAGTCTATAAAAGGAATAATCACAGTAGTCAAGTCACAAGGGAGCAAAACTGGTGTAAATTGTAAAATAATGAGATCCAGGGTATGTAATCGATTCTTGTTGACAATGTTCCCCCTTGTGGCTATCCAGGTCCTTTACACGTTCATTCATTAATTTTCGCAGGGCAAATTACACAGTGCTTCAACAGGATGTGAGAATTCCCTTGATGTTTGCACCACCTCTTTCCTATGTCATTTGTGAGTAAGGTTGGCTAACAGTCTCTATTTTTTTTCTCTGCTCTTCTCCGTTTTCTAAAACTTTCCAAATATTTGTAGACAACTAAATTTTTCTTACCTTAGTCTAAGAAGAAGTTCTATTTTTCTTCTTCCTTTACTTGAAAAGCAAATGTAAACAGCTAACAATTCATATCAGGTCATAGAAAGGAACAATCAGCTTGCAATTACACTATTGCCAAATCCTATCTAGGAAGGTGTATTAAAGATCTTACTTTTATATCAACTGAAATGCATTCTGACTAAAGATGACTTATGAAACAGAGTGAACATTCAATTTTTTCTTCCCTTTTCAAAATTACACTTGTGAGATTCCAAATCCTGACTTAAAGGAGATTTTCAGTCACCTGACTGCACGTGCTAAGATTCTAATTGACATTTAGCCAAGTTTGACAAAGCCCTGGCCCATACTTCCGACATAACTATTATGTTCTACTTGCACAGCAGGACAAGGTAAACGTCTGTGCCTTTTAAACACAAGTTATGCTTAAAAGAAGCTCCTCTTAAACAAGTCAATCACAACACAGATCACTGTTGGGTGAAAGGCGTGTGCAATACATTAAGAATTCTTTTTCCAGTGTTTTCTTCCAGCCCCATAACTAAAAAGCAAAAAACTGCACATGAAAGCATCAGAGAGCAATATTAATAGTCTAGTAAAACACTTGAGAACCAAGAACCCAGTGTTTGAAATAAATATGGACTATCTTGAGCTCTCATACTTACCATGATACTAAACTGGGGAGCAGTTTAGTACCACATGGGATATGCAGCGATTTCTGCCCCCATGCTCAGCCAGGGCTGTCAGAGCACCGGCATCTGCCAGGGCAGCCACTCACAGGGACGTGACTGCAGGTTACAAGGGACATTCAGCTGAGTGACCCTGAGCACGAGCAACACAGGGGTAAAGCACTTCATGTCTGCATACCTGACTCTCTGTGATTTTTGAAACAGATGATCAGGAATATGGGGTGACTACTATCATCCTCTTGCTCTACAGGCACTTATAGCTTAAAAGAACTGTAACTTGTAACTTTTTTTTTTTTTAAGCTTGATAGAGTTTTCTGAATAAACCTGTCAAAGTTCTACTCAGAACTTGCTATACTTAGCCTGACACTCCACTTAAATACTCAATTAGTTCTAATTTGACTTCACTACTTCTGTCTCTCTATATTGTGTTAGCAAGGCTGGCAAGAAACAAGACACATCTGAAATACACAGTGATGTGCTGGGAAGTTGCACTACCTAATGTGCACTGTGTGCACTGACTAGCATGTGAGTTGATCAGTTTTTTAATGCAAAAACTAGGGACAAAGCTCAGTTAAGCTTGTATCTTATACTTATGAAGCAGTTCCACTGAGTGAATTAACCAAATTGTAATTAGCAATTAGGTTACAACCAAGCTAGAGCCTTTGTCTGCATAAAGGCCTGGCATCTATTCCCAGTGCTGCCACTGATCCACTGGGTAGGTTACTTCAGAGTACTTGAGAGGAGACCTATAAAATAGGGATCATGCTAATGCAACTTAAAAGCTATTAAGTGGATTAAGCATCTTGAGAAGGGTTCTAAATGTTAGTTACTATTGGAACTAAAATCCTCCAAAAATCCCTTAAACATTTTATGATACTTTACCTGACTGTTCTGGTACCTTCAGAACACATCTCAGTTCTAGATTTATCAGTGAATAAAACCACTAAAAGTTTTCCATACAAGTTCCCCTTAACATGTTCCTTCTACCTTCCAAACGCCTGTCGGGGCTGTAGAGGAGCCTTCCTTGGCATGAAAGGCACTTGTGAATCAGGGGCTCACATTCCTCTCAGGCTTGGCATTATCAGGAACCAGACAATCTGCACGACTGAGGGCGAAACAGCTGATGAACAGCACTGCTGCTCTCCTGAGATCCTCCCTAATGCTTTACGCCACTGCAGTTCAAAATACTGAGGACATGAAAGGATATACACACACAAAAGGTACTTGCTGACATCCTGTTGGTATTTACCTAAAACACCACTCATAATAGCCATCTAAATAAGAACATTAGAAATCCTCCCCTATTCATACAACCTTCCACTCCCACTTTGTGCAGACTGCCCTGGAAAATACTGGGTGAATAGTCAGTACTTAAAACCTCCCCAATGGGCAATAACTATTCTTCGAAGTGGAGCAAGGAGAGAGGGCCTTTACCATTCCAAGAAGAATTCCCTTTTACCAGCCCTCTGCTACGTCAACAGAAACAGATTAAGTTTGATCTAGTTATGGTATCTTAAGAGTTCCTATCAACTTTTAAAAACAGTCCTTCATTTCTCTCGAGAGATGAGGTGATCTCCCAGGATCCTTAAACCACATACTAAAGCAAGTTGGGAGTCTGAACACTGGGATCACAGAGGTAATTTGCTCTCTTAGTGAAAGGATTCACTTCTGTGCTAGCTCAGCTACTGTGGTTCACTATAGACATGGTTCCTTCAAAGGTGCAAAGAAGCACGGGAGAAGAAAGGTCTGGATTTCTACAGCAACATCTCCTTCAAAAGGGACATCAGAAGCTAAGTATCAAGCACCAGCAAAAATAATGGCAGCTGAAGAGACTCACAAACTGCCTAAGAATCTGTCAGGCCGTGAACTTGAGCACCAGAAGTCAAACCTACCATCTCAATTATTACCACAACTTGCTTCTCACGCTACCCCATCAGCTTCGTGTCAGTTGCAACTGTTCTCAGACAACTACTTCTATCCAATCCATAAACCTCAGCATGATATTAATAACAATAAGAAACATAGAGGGAGCTGAATGTTTTCAGCCCTATCACACAACAACTTGCAATCCCCGCCAAGAGAAAGAGTCACAGTGCAAGCTGCCTCATAGCTTTGCAAAGACAACATCCAGCAGTTCAGGATGCCTAAGAAAAATTACTGGAAAAGTCTACCAAATTTAGAGGCAACATGTGAGCAACAAAAAGGAATCTGAAAAGCACTGCCCAGCCTAAAGGCACTGCTATGAACACATAGCCCTTTCTGTCACTGGAAATGTTATGATCAATAAAAGCAGAACAGCTTCTGTGAAGAGAGGTCTGTAAGAAAACATACTATAGAAATAGGAGGAATGCATTTATCTATCGAAAATAACTACGTTCAACAAAATCCTTACAAAAATAAAACTGTATTGAGCAAACTAACACTTAAGACTAGTTTTCCAGGTGATACAAAGAAGAAAAAGTCAGGGAAGAGAGGATCTCTGCTAAAGTTCAAGTTACTTCCAGCCCATCTGGTCCTAGTGCATTTGAAAATCTCCTTTTAAATGGCAGATAAACAGAACTGCTGACAGCACATATTTTCTCACATATGTATTCATAGTGTACATATCTGGGCGTGCAGCTGTCTCCTGATTGTTTCCATCTGAGAAAGTAAAGATTTCTCTGTCCCCCCTTTCTCACAAGAGGACAATGAAAAAATCTGGATCATGTGAGTAACATGTCAGTTTACTGGAGCCACCCCAATCAGTAACAATGCACAGATTATTTCTGATGTGTGTTCCCAGTGCTACAAAAGTGATTTAAACAGAAGGTTTTTGAAGTTCAGAGAATTCTGCATAAGCGAAGCTATTAGTTACTCCTTTTCCCACTCTAGCAACCTGAACTACTTTCCCCATTTATGACAATAAATATTATAAAGAATACAAATGTTAATAAACAAGGGGATCCCAGCAAAACGTGGGACTCTTGCATGAAATTCTCTTGCTAAGCACCTACAATTACTGTCTTCAGGGAAATCTGAAAGTCTAGGACAATGAAGGAGGACCAAATACAAGTAAAGGAGATTTCTGAAATCATCAGTTTAAGGGCTAACATATGTCAACAGAAATAGTGGGTAAAGAGGATATGATGACTGCACGCTCAGAAGAATGTTATTTATGGAAAGCATGCAGCATCTGCCTTGAAAGAGCTCTAGCCCCGAGCTTAAGAGTCTGAGAGTCCAACAGAACTGGAGACAAAACACACACATTCTTTCCTAGCAGAAAAAAAAGAAGGATTTCAGTTTTGTTAAGTGACTAAAGCACAGATTAAAATATCATTGCACAGAAGTTTCATCTTGAAAGTGGTTTTAATATCACACCAGCAAAGATTCCTTTCCATGGAATGACCTTTTCCTGAAGCAACCTACTCAAAAATCCAGGTGCCTTACCGGAAGAAAAAGGCGCTGGGCAGCACATGGTTTGAATAACTTTTTCCATTCCTGAGCATTTCCCACTGAGAAGGTTATTGGGTAAATGTTGTACTCAAACTTCTTTGTATACGAGGAAGGCCATTCCTGTAGCTGAAAGACACAAGGGAAGGAATTAAACATTACATAGCTTTTTGTTTATTTGAATATGTGTGCATAAAAAAAAAAATCAGAAACATGCTTGTGGAAATAAATAGCAACTAAGCAATTTTTTAATGTCAAAGTAACTCTCAGAGATCTGTAGGTTAAAATTATAATACATATGTTTTAAATATATTATACATAAAAAGTATTTACCAAATGACAAAGAAACTCACCTTCTCCTCAAATTCAGGCTTAAGGGAATCCTCAGCAAAAATGTGAAGACAGAGTCTTCTGTTGCTGAAGAGAACTGCTGATTTCAGCATGATGAGAGTCTCTTCCAGCCGATCCCCACACGCCACGACTGCCAGATGCATGCATTGCAAAGACGAAGGCTCTTTTGAATGTTTCTGTTCTCCAGGCTTCCTGAAAATTAATACACAGACATATTAAAAATAAATGAACAAAAATCAGGCAAGTTTTAAGAAAATGGGTTTTGTTCCTGCTTCTCCATTATGCAGGGCATCAATAGTTTTTTTCTAATTACTATCTAGAAAATACATAAAAGGAATTCCAATTTTTGTCAAAGATAAAAAAAATCAAGTGTTTAAATTATAATACAAAGTTATAAGAATTTTTCAAGAATTTATTGAAGTTTTCCTACTCTTATTGGCTTACAGAAATCACTGTAATATATGCACATGTGAAACTAATTTAATAGCATCTCAAACTAGACAATAAGTTGCTCAGAGTAAATGAGAGGGTTTTTTTCCTCCTCTCTCCAGTGCAGAGTCAATGAAGCCAGAATGGATTTATTACTACCTCGTCTGACCTTCTAGCATAATGCAAGTTAAATTATAGAAATATATCCAGGAATTTCAGCACCAGACCTATAACTTCTGGTTAGATTGCAAAGAGATCTAGGCCTCATTAAAAAGTCTCCACCCCATCTATATGTAAATTATTCCAACAACTAATTAATCTTGCTTTTAAAAATGCATGCCTTAATCCTGCCCTGAAGGTATTGGCATGGTTTCACAGGAGTACTCTCTATTTCACCTCATAGAATACTTGGGATTTTACTAAAATACAGACTTTTTTTTAATGGCAAGAAAGCTGACTTGTCTTAGACAAAGCTGACTATATTCGACAAGTAGTCAAAGAGCAGGTTACAGGTTTTTCTATTTGCCACCTATCTGTGTGGACTTCATAGAAGCTTTAACTGTAAAGTGGAATAAACAGCATGTGAAAAGCAAAAAGTTGTTCTGGAAGACTCTCATACACTTTGAAAATATGAACTTTTTGTTTCTTTTTTCTCCTCCTCCTGATCAGCTTTCCATTTCTACCGTATTTTAGTCACTTCCAACACGGACCATATTTGTACATCATTAGATGTGTGGTGAGAAAACAGCTAAATCACAAGCCTCATCATCATTATGGGAAAGTTCAAAAGGGTAATCATTGATCACTATCAGTTCTCAACGTACCACTGAAGAGGGGACATCAATCCCTGCCTCTTCTCGGCACACTACACATGCTTACACACATACTAATCATCAGCAGAATGAACACCATAAACAAAACTTCTCCATAAAGAGAAAAATGACAGTTAATAAAGCTGTCATTATCTTTTAGAAATTAAAATACTGCTTAGTAAAACAACAGCATTCTGTACTGTGGCATAATCTGCTTATGTGTTAAGGAAAACCAGCCCTCACCACTTTATAGGCTATACAGAGGAACATGTTTCATTAATGGTTTAAAGTCTTAGGCTTTACTCTTAATTAAACCCCAATTTCAACAGTGAATAAATAATGGAATACTACACTTATGTGAAGTGGTATTTGCTTGCCAACCTATTAGTGTAAAAACCACTGAATTATTTAAGTAAATAATTAGCTCACACAGATCTCATTTTCCCCTCTTCTCCCCATCTCTTTAATGTTTCCTCTTAATTGAGTCTCTAAATCAAGTCATATGAAGGATGTGAACTGCTTTGATAAAGCTTGTGGCACTGGAATTCACTGCGAAGGACTCTGCTTCACCCTTTCATTGCAACGTCTCAGATCTCAGGGAAATGAAAGGGGAATGAGCAGTTCACACCAAAGGACATCACAACTCTCCTTCCTTCCCTCCTTTGCACATGCAAGTACTTGGGACCATATTGTGAGGAGGAAGGAGGCAAGAGAGAAATGTCATCAGGAGGAAACAACGTGCCTTACTGATTCATAGGAAACACCTAATGTCTCCAAAGCAGATCAGTTCCAGTTGGATTGATAATATCCAGGATGCTTCTGCTTTAAGCAGAATAAATGGCTATATGGGCTTACCTGAATCTCCTCCTGAAAATAAGAGGATCCCACTATGTGTTGTATAGAGAGAAATAGGAGGTTAGAGAATTTTGCTTGTGCAAGTGGAACAGCCATCTCACTTCCATTGCTGGACATGCAGGCCACAACAGCATCTCCCGATGAAGGAGGCTGGTAGGTAGCCACGGAAGAACACACAATACTACCTGAAGAAGCCCCGAGAGGAAGATAAAATATAACATTAAACATGGGTTTATTGCTTCACAATAGGGTCTTTTTGACTGGAGATCTTATACCAGATCCACACTGAATCCTTGTTTGATATATTATTGGAAATCTAAGTCTATCATGTATATTTGGAAGCTAAGAATTTTAGGAAACATTGCCTGGTTGGACATCCCTAGACACACAACAAAAAGACACATACTTTATTTTAAAGGAGTATGTTACATACTGTAGTAAACTATACAGAAGATAAAATTTGTTACATAGAAGAAAAGTCTTTCAGCAAGGAAGAAAGAACATACTGAACTTTGCTAGACTGTCAACATGAGACATTCACAGGTTTCTGCCATAGAGACATGCTCAGGTATCAGCTGGAGGACAGGTGACCACTATTTTTTGACTCTTTTGATCACTGAGTTCCACTCAAACTTTGAGCAAGTCCTCAATTCTTTAAGCTTTCACTGTCCCACCTGTAAAATGGGAACAGCTGTTACAACAGGTATCCACCTCAGGAGATTTTCGGGCATATTAAAAAGCACAAAGATAATAAAACAATTATTGTTTTTAAAATATTCTTCCTTACATCTATGCTTGTGTTCATTCATAGTAAAATTTACTCATTACTGATACAGTCCACAACTGTATTTTATGATGTAAATTAAGCATTTAAATACATCTAAAAATAACACAAGACATGAGCCTGAAAAGTTTATGTGTTTGATAAGAACACATACAAAAATTACCTACACCAGGTCTGTATATAAACAGTTTGTTGATATATTAGAATCTGCCTGTTACAGCACCACATCAAAGCCTTTACTTTTTTCTTTTTTTCTTCTTATCTGGTCAGAGAAAATTTCTTCTTCCTCTCCTTTCCCCCTGCTTTTCCTTTTACATACCAACATGTGGCTTTAAGATTAAGGAACATTACTTAAGATTAAGCATCACACAGAGCATCACAAAATACTTGCAGAGCGCATCCCTGTAAAACAGTTGAAACAGATTTTCTAAGACACAGCATGATAAAATAGTTATTGCAAGGGTCTTGTGATAGAGGCAGACCAATGACTCCTATCCATTTGCCTCATAGTATCTTATTTTCTGCATAAATATTCTTCTGGGCAAACATGGTTACTGACATGGCAGAAGAATCTTGAGTGTTTGAGCAAAGTAGTTTTGTTTCTATGCCTTAGTTTGGATAACATGTTATTTTCTTATTAGTCACAGTCAAAGTGCATCAAACATAATTAACCCAAAACCTCTCTAAATCAATCCAGATCCATTCAAAATAATGCATTCCCATCTCATTACACAGCCTGCTAATCTATTCAAGCCTTCAAATTTATTCATGAGACAAAGGTAATGAATGCAGATTCTTACAAACTCAATACAGTTGTTAGATTTTGAAACATTCCTCATATTATGATCTCATTTACTTTTGCAGCATAAACACAGTTAGATTTAGGCAATGCATCAAGACTGGTGATTCACTAAATAGGCTCCTTTCCTGATGCTCAACACCGAGTCGATGTCCCAACAGTGGCCATATTCCCACAAACCACATTCTCCTTCAATCCTCAAAATATAAACTACATAGGTTCAGAATGGCCTTAAAATCTTCACTTTAATGCAGTTACACAATCTTGACTTCATTTGCTTAAAATAAAATAAAAAGCTCCTTCCAATTTAGACAAAGGGAGGAAAAAACCTCAAAATGAGAACTTTTTTTTTTTTTAATCGGGGCCTTCAGCATGTTACTATAGGGTATCAAATTCAAGCCAAACTGGTATGTGTAGGCACACAGATTGCAAAGCAAGAAAAAGCCACGTACAAGAAGTTTTGCTTCAGAAAGGTTACTTTTGGAGGATTAAACACAGTGGTGGGCATTTGCTTCCCAAGCCCTGCCATGCTAGTTTAATAGTAAGCGTGGTCACATCTGCCCTTCAGATGTAAAATAATCCTGTGCTTTTTGATGCCTCCTGCACACTGGTTTGGCACACATATTTATACTTCTTTATGTGGGGGTGTGTGCGTATATATATATATATATATATAAAGCTTCCTGAAACCACAGATATAGGACTTGCTACTTCCAAGAGGAAGGATCAAACCACTGACAAAAGAAAAAAAATAAGTTTAAGTTTTCAAAGCTAAATAAAAACTTATGCATAACGCTTTAGATTTACTAAAAAAATCTACCAATCAAAGCAGAACAAATCAATGTGTTTATTAGTATTTGGTAGGTACTAGTCAGCTGATATGTGAGCACTGAAACCTTTACCATCCATGACTACTTGCACTACAAAAAATAATAATATTCTACTATTCTCACACAAATACACAGAGCACTGTTACAGAAACTCAGCTAAACCACAACCCACCTTGGACAGGGATTGATTTTTTTTTTTTTTTTTAAACTGACATATCAGGCAATAGCTGCAATTATTTCTGAGTTAAAAAAAACTTGCACTCTTCTTGAAAAAAGTACAGTAATCAGCTGAATTAAAACTGTGGCCTTTAACTTATAACACACACAAATTCATTGATGGCAACTGAATTAATCATGTAGCCTATATACACACACACATACACCATAAGCAGATCACAAACACAAACAAAACAGGATTTTCAATTTGTCCTAAAGGAAATAGGATATCACTCAAATCATTTTTGAAAGTTATTCCTTTTGCTCACAAGGAGTAACTTTGTATTTATCCTATAGCAATGAACAGGCAGCCTGTGACCCTGCATGTTATTCATAAGGATGCCATCCACTCTAAGCATATGTGTAAGCAAAGCCTATTAAATCTATGGGAATACTCACTCTAATAGTTAATAGTAGTTAAATCCAAAAGTTAGCTGCTTCTGCCCTAAATTCCAGCACCCTCACAGCAGCTTCCCTCTGTTTTCAGCGTGTGCTGTCCCAGGCAAACCACGCTACCTTGCGCCTGTGCCAGCGCCCATGGGATCCGCTCTGGAGCAGTGCCTGCGGGTGGGCTGCTCCTCTCCAGGACAGCATCATCCCCTCCAGCCTTTGCCTTTAAGTGGATATCTTCACTAGGCTATATCATATTGCATGTTGAAATAGCCAACACCATAAAGAGCCTCTCAGCAAGGTTCCCAACCAGACACCAGACCCCTGTCTTTCAGTAAAGTAACTCCTGATGGTGTCCACAGGGCAGGATCACTTTCTGCCAGGAGAGGTGGAAAAAGAGAGGGCAAACGGTGCCTGGTTTAAGCACAGCATTATTCCTTTTCTATTCTGTGCACACCACCACCTCCTTGTGCTGCGGACCTCGTAAAAAGTACTTGAAAAGCCAATAAAAGAAGTTAGATAACACCAAGTTTTGGAACGTGAAGATGCTCACTGAAAAGCTCATTGAAATGGGACAGCTGTTTACTCTCTCCATCAGAGTTCTATATTTTCCAGGCTCCTTCCTTCACTGTTCTTGATTTCCATGATAATCGCAGAGATATGCCTTAAAGAAAAATGAGTCCAGGAGGTACAGTTGCCAGTGGAAATAATCCTGCTTTAACACACACATTTGAATTCTGTCCGTGACCCATTCCCAGCCACAGTAAACATCTCTTGCATTCAGCAGGATAACAATGCTTGCAAGAAACCAACTGCTTTAATAAGTTACGGAATAAGAGCTCATAAAACAGGAACAGCCTTTCATTCAGAACATCTCTGTGAAATCATGAATCAAAGACACAAAGACATACCAAGTTAATTAGACATATGAGGTCACACTGACCATAGTCTAGCTGGAATGCGGCGGGCAAAACAGCCCTCCGCCCGCTGAAAGCACTCTACTCTTTTTTTTCCCCAAAGTGATTACCACTTTATTTTTTTCCGTTAAATATTCCCACTAGAAGGCAGTGAAAAGGGGTTTGCAGTGCAGCAGACACTCAAAGTTTTTCCCAAGTCCTACTGAATTACTTTACAGTGAGAAATCAATAAACACATCAGTGAAAGCCCCGCTGCTTTAAACCCTCCGGTGCGCAGCAGTTCGGAGCCCGCGGGTCCCAGCTCCGCCTCGCGCGCGCCCTGACAGCCCATCCCGCCCGCGGAGCAAGGCCAGAAGGGAGGCGAAGACCCGCGCGGCGGTACCTGGCGCGGGCGCCGGGCGGGCTCCTGCGCGCGGCGCTGCGGCTGAGGCGC